CAAGTTCAAGAATCCAGGTTTAAATGCTTCAAACAATTGTTCCATCTTACTTTTCTGCATGATTTGTTTCTTAACTCATATTGTTCCTGAGCTTTCCATATGTGGACCTTATGCCAATGAAACAGCAAGTTTCCTAAAGTCAAAGACAATGTGTCACCCAACTTTACTTTGCTCACAGTGCTTAGATGTAGCAGATGCGCAACAGTTTGCTGAATGAATGTATTTACTATGTACAATAGATCAAAAACATGCTTTTTTTTTTCTGTAAATGCTATAATACACTGCTTGGGGAAAATAAGAGGACACCTATCCCTTTGGGAACATAGAAAACCAGTAAAAAAAAAATTGAAAATGGGAATGAAGTTACCTACAACCCTTTCCCACATCAGCTCCCCTGAGTGTGCACTAAGCTGGCCATGCAGGCACAACTGAGAAGGTGCAATGCTGCTCACAGGGCCCCAGGGATAACAATCAGACCAAGAAGCACCACTGATACCCTCAACTACAAGGTGCTCTCTGGTCACTGGGGAAAAAATATACACCAACTTTACATAACTGTGGCTTAAAAAAAAGCTCTTCCCCAAAACTCTCCCCCTAGTGGAATATCAGGGGTACATTATAGAGTACAGCTCTTAGGGCTACATGACATTGATGACTGGCAAAACGTGAAAATCTGAAGATGCCTCATTCCCATTCAAAACAGCCTTACCTGCATTTCGTATCCTCTCTTTGTACTGCTGATCTAGTTTTTTCATCCTTTTCTGATACTCCTGTAGTGTACCTGATTTTGAGCATTACAAAATAAATGGTTATTTTGATGATCCATCGGCTGTTCATTGTTTCCTAAAATTATTCTCTAGCACTTATAGTAACTATTTTAGTAACCTCAGGGTAAAACAAAAATGAAGAAAATCCACACCTGAGTAGAGGCAGCGGAACTATGGTTCTCAACCAAATCACAAGCAGAAACCATGGGGGGGGTGCTCTCTGGAGTCCATCCCATCCTAGTAGATCATGACGCTCCAGCGAGTGAGGGTGAGTGGGAAGGTGCAGACATCCTGTATTGATTTTGATCACTTGCTGCTACAGTCAGAGTCAACAGACTTCCCTTTCCTGGAAGAGGCTCATTCTCCTTCAATAAGATCTAGATCAACGTTGTTCAATAGAACCTCTCACAATGACAGAAATATTCTGTCTGCACTGTCCAATACGGTAGCCACTAACTACATGTGGTTATTTTAGACTTGAAATGTGGCAAATGCAACTGAGGAACTGAATTATTTTTTTAAGTTACATTTAAACAGCCACAAGTGGATACTGACAGGATTAGATGGTTCAGACATAAATTCTATCCAAATCTTTTCTCAATACATTATTCTTCCCCAAAGCAGCTAATTACAAGGAGCACAAATTGTGGAGATGTGTTTTCTGATCATTAGTGTCCATGGGCTAGTCCATGGGAGTGGATCATCCCCAAACAATAAAAGTAACTTGTGGAAGGGCCAACAGGGTTGGTTTGGTGGTTAAGGTGCTAGGCTCCCTCATAGGTGACCACAGTTCAAGTCTCAGACCCAGCAGCTTAAAAACCATGTTGGCACATGGGCATGCATACCAAAAACCCTAAGAAGAGAATGAAGAATAAGGGATTAGGGTGTGGCCTTCCCCCACCCCAGGACTACTTTCCTTCTCTGTCTCTCTTCAGCAAGTGCTTAAGCCCTATGATACGAACCTTCAAAAAGAAGAAGAAGAAAAGAAACAGTACCTCGTGGAAAAACATATCCCTGATGAGAAGACTCCACAATATATTGCAGCTAGCTATCCCCAAGTTCTCAAAGTGTGCCCAACACTATGCTCAACGCTTCGCAAACAAGCACTCATCTGCTCTTTCTTTCTTCATTTTGCAGATTAGAGACCGGATTAAGAGAACATGACACACCCAAGGTCACACTGCTAGAAATCATGAAATTGGGATTCAAACTCAACATGGAATTCGAGAGCCCCCAGGCTACACTTCCTTTAGCAGCCAACAGCATTAAAAAAGCTCTAAGTTAGTTTTAACTGACCAAGTGAAAAAGAGAAAACAGTGTGAATAATCCATAGTTCATTAATACTTGGTTAAAAATAATAAGAAAGGGTTATTTATTTAGCAACAATGGCCTTCCAAAAAATACCTAGCTTTAGACATGGTGGTTCTCAATTCATGCTCTATATAAGACCGTAGGTGAGATTTTATTTGTAAAAAAAAAAGCAATGTTTAAGCCTGCTACAGGGGCCAGCAGGTGGCATAGTTATGGTGGTGGACTCTCACGTGGCCAAACACAGTTCAAGTCCAGGACCTGAAGGCTTGAAACTCACGCCAGGCCCGCATGAATGCATGCCCAAAATCCCAAGAGGAGAAAGAATTGCAGCATGGCCATCCCCCTAGGGGGTGATTTCTCATTTTCTTTTTCTGTCTCTGTCTCGCAGGTGAGCATGCATGCACTGTAGCAAAAATCTCTCAATTAAAAAAAAAAAAAAAGCATGCAAGCACTGTAGCAAAAATCTCTCAATTAAAAAATTTAAAAAAAAAAAACCTGCTACATATTGGAGATAAATTCACAAAAAGGAAAAGCTTACAAATCACTTTATTAACACAAAATGTTTAGTTATCTAGGAAAATGTATACTAGATAACTAAACTCAGCCAGAAAAAATTATAAACGGATAAATCATTCCCACAAACAAGTGAAATATGGAAATCGCAAAGGTTTGTAATATTATGAAGTATACTTGGAAATGAAGGATTCAATCACACACCAACCTTCCTGCAGTTGCTGCAACTGCCTCTTGAGAGAGGCTAGCTTGTCCTGATACATCCTGTAAAACAAAAATGTGAGCCACACTGAAAGACAAAACAGTCAATACTCAATTTCAAAATATTATACACACAGGAATTACCTAGGTGGCAATGGGAATACCACTAATAACCTTCAGGGGAGGAGGGAAAGGAAAGTCTGCTAGCTGGTTTTAAGTGTACCAGCTAAAGTGATCGAAAGGAACAAAGATTCTATATTCTTGGCTCACATCCTATATAATTTTCTAGACTTTCATGTGTTATCCCACCTTTAGAGAATCAGTCTAAAATCTGTAAATATAAATATGGCAGACTTTATAAACAAACAACTACAGTACAGAGTTAGGCAAGAACATATGAAGAAAAACTGAAAGCATGATGCCATTTTCCCCTGGATTTAGAAACATAAGTAATGCACACAAAAAAAATATAGAAATGGCATTAAACACAATTGATATCAACTCTACAGTTAGGTTATAAATTCCAAAAGAAGAAGATTATGCCTTCAGCATGTTTTCCTACATTGTATAGCTGGGTAAGCACTAACTCAATAAACTGTCAGCTTTAAAAAGCAGTACTATTTTAGGATGAGAAAAATAATAGTATTTCAGAAATGAAAGTGAAAATGCATGATTTGCAGCCTCAGCTTGAGGAGAATGTGCACCACACAGGATGCAAAAAAGCGAGGCATGTTGGTCCCCGCCCCCAGGCCCCTATCTCACACCCAATGGATTATAGACAATTACACACTCTGGAAGATCCATCTGAACAGTGAATTCCACCCATAAATCACACTTTGGCAATTTTTGCTTCTACCTGAAAAATATCTTCAAGTTCATAGCAACAAACATGGGACTGAAAAAAACACTGTCCAACATTTAATAACTTTTTTTAAGATTTGTTTTGCATGTGTGCTCCCTGAAGAGAGAGAGAAAGTAAAGGGAGAAATCACCCCTAGGGAGGATGGCCACGCCTCAATCCCTTCTCCTCCAGTCTCCTCTTGGAATTCTGGGCACAAACACACATACGCCCAGTGTGTTTATTTTTCAAGCCACTGTGCCCAGGACTCAAACTACAGTTTACTGTGTAGAATTCAGCTGCCTTAACTACCATACCATCTGCTAGGCTTTAATAGCCTTATTTTTTTTAAGAATTATTATTATTATTAATTCACTATAGAACACATGCACTTACTAGAGAGTCAGAGAGAGAGAAAGTGAGAAAGCAAGCTGCCAGGTATGGGACCCGAACTACAGTGTGCCACGTGGAAGTCCAGCATCTCAGCCTTTTGATTGCTTAAGGGCTGCAAATGCAACCCAATGCTCCACAAGTGGAAGAAAGGGTAAGCAGCTACTGAAAATCACAGGGGAAGACTCTTGAGAGAATTCAGCTGTGCTCTTGATGATCCACGGCTTGACTCTTTTAGAGAGAATTCAGCTGTGCTCTTGATGATCCACTTAAACCACAGAAGGCATTCCTTCTTAATCAAAATTACTTTCTCAGCCATCAAATATCAAGAGGCACATTCAAGTAAAAGTAACCTCCAGGACCAGTCCCACGGCACAGGCACAGGGGGTTAAAGGCTGTGCACAGGGAAACAGATCCCACATGGCCTACTGCATTTGGTGTCCCTGCCCCAGTGGCTTGAAACACTCCTGGCAATGTATGTATATACCCAAAATCCCAAGAGGAAGGAGGAATGTGTGTGTACGCACGTGTGGAAAGGGAGAACAGAAGCATGACCACACCCCATCAGGGAGTATTCCCTCTCTTTAACAAGCACATGCCCCCTCTACCCATTTAAATTAAAAAAAAAAAAAAAAGAAAGAAAAAAGAAAAAGTCAAGATCAGCTCTACAAAAAAAATGCTTAAACATATCAAGTACAGGAGAGGGAATAAACTGAGTAAACTGCATGCAAGTCAGTATTGAGAACAGAGAGTATGACGTTTTCCACCTCACTGAAGGTACCAGCCAATACCTTTGAATTATGAGTCCATCTTTGAAAGGGGATGCTGACAGAGAGAAGTAAACAAGAAACACAATTCATATTTGTTGAGCTCATGTATAGAAAAGAGAATAGACTTGTGAACATACATTTCAAATGGGTCAAGGTGAAATCAGTAAAAAGCTTGAAGAGGATTAAAAACAAGCACAGTTTGAAAAAGGCATCCCTGAACCCACCGAGTTGCTACCATGAGGCAAAGCTCATCCCCCCAAATTGAAAAAATTTATAGACAAGAAGTTATCATTGAAATTAAATGGTGGCAGACATGTCCAAGGAATACTGTAGGGATTTGATGCATTTATGAATCTTATGATAGATGAATGTGTGAAGATGGCAACTAGTGGGCAACAGAACAATATTGGAATGGTGGTAATACAAGGAAATTGTATCATCATGTTAGAAGCCTTGGAGCAAGTATAAATAATCGCTGTTCAACAGAAAAACTCATGTCCCCTTGTCAACGGGCCTGTTTTACTATGATGTAAAAATCAGGTCATGTACATTTTCATAATAAACTTTCTGTTAAGTTAAAAAAAAGAGAAAGAAAACAAGCATAGTTTCAGGGTTGAAAATGTGAGACTGATCACATGAATTATTAAAACCATCTCTTTTTATGTAAGACCAGTCACATTGAGCTGAATTGCCTCCTTTAGGCCACAACACCTCTAAAGGGTAAAATTCAGAGGATGGCTACAAAACACTCATAAGTAGGACCTAGGACAAAAGGAATGTGGATCATCTAGTTTCAAGGTAAATAATTTAGGGCCAGCTGGTGGCATGGTACAATAGTTAAGGTAGCTGGATCCTACATGGCTGACTATGAGGCTGATTCCTGGACTCAGTGGCTTAAAAAAACAGCTGTGTGCATGTGTGTGTGCATGCCCAAAATCTTTGAATCCTGGACTCAGTGGCTTAAAAATCAGCTGTGTGCATGTGTGTATGCATGCCCAAAATCTCAAGAGGAGAATGGAGGAGATGGGATTGCAGTATGGCCATCCCTCCTGCAGGGCACTGGCTCTCTCTTTCTTTCTCCGCCTCCACCCCCATGAGTACATGCATTCTATGGCAAATAAAGACACATGCACGCACACACGCGCACACACACACACACACACACACACAAACATACACACGCAAAGATGAGGAATTTTAAAAGATCTTATCAAGATCCTTGAAATAGGGCAAACCCAGTGACCTGATGGTTAAGGGAGCCCAATACCACATGGTTCACCATAGTTCTAATCCTGGTCCCAGTGGCTTGAAAAACATGCCAGGTACATGTGCGCATGTGTCCTAAATCCTGATGGGACAGAGATATGGGGGAGAAAGGATTGTGGTGTGATCACACTCTATTAAGAGGGTGCTCTTCCTCTCTCCCAATCACTCTGAAGAATACACACATTCTTCAGGAAAAAAAAAAATTTAATTCCTCAAAACACATTCAACGAATACATGCTGAATATATTTTATACTGTTTTCCACTTTAGGGTACAATAAAGTGAGTGGGGTCTTGTTTCTCTCGGCCCATGTAGCCTCATGCCTTCTGTCTGAAGGCAACGAGAAGGCTTGGGTAAGAACATGTGTGACCAGAAGTCAGGAGCTGTTCTTCAACCCAGGTTTCCCTGAGCTCGCCAAGTATATAGCACATTGTATAGCATGTAGTTGGTGCTCAGAGAGTTCATGCCCAACTGAAAACTTACTTGCTTTAAGACATGGTTTATCCCTCCCTAAACATTGGTTTTCACATCCATAAACGGGGAGAGCAGTAAAGATTCTTTCCTATCATATGGCCTTATCTGTGATTGTTTCCCTCAGGGTTCTTTCTATCCTACTCAAGAGAATCTTGTAATAGGAAACCTAGTTACATGTGACTAATTTAAAGAGAGGGAGGGCATATTGCACTACTCATGGTCTTTGGAAGCGCTATGAACACCACCAAACAAGCAAGGTCATATTAGATTGTAATAAGATTGTGTTGTCAATTCCATAGTCTAGAAAAGAAGTATAAAAATCATACTCACTGTTCCTTCATTTCTACATAGTCTTCTTCATCATGCTTTGCCAGGTCAGTTTCACTAGCATCCTCAGTGTCTGGTAAAAATAGGGGAAAAAGGACTAGTTAAGATCATCCACAGACTTAGTATCATCTGACACATGTAAGCACACAATAAACTTCTGTAAAATAAATTTCCACTCACTGCAGGTCTGATGAAGCCACCAGTGAAAAATATTGAATAGTTTCCAGAAAATAAAATGCCATCTCTAATTTATACATGGATTTATGCAAAGAGCTTCCCTTTATCTAAAGTGCAACCAGGGAATGGGGAATTTTAGATACAGGCATCATGGTCAAGATCGCAGAAGCAACATCCTGGCAGTTCAGGAAAGATGTGGGCATTACGACTGGGAACTGAAGGCACTCAAACCTTACTCAAGTTCCAATAAAATGTGTAAGTACATTCTCTCCTAGCACATGCCCAGTTTGAACTCTGTCCATTTTACACCAAATGTATACAACAAAGGAGAATCCCACACAATGTATTGAACCTAAATAACTAATATTTTCAAAGTAATAACTAAATGCAATAAGGAAGCAAGATAATCACATACAAAATGTTTCAAAATATATTTTTTAAAGAATTACTTCTTTAATTCCATTTGTTATTATTATTTTTTACTTTGACCAGAGAGAGAGAAACAGAAAGCAGAAAGAAAGCAAGCAAGCTACCAGGTCCAGAACTTGAACTGCAGTCAGTCATGTGGGAATCCAGTGCCTTTAGCCACCAAGCCACCTGCCAATACCTTGAAAATACTGTAAACACTATTATTAGAACAAACAAACGGAGGAACCCTTCAAAATACTGTAAACACTATTATTAGGACAAACAAACGGAGGAACAGCATATAGTACAGTGGTTAAGGTGCTAGACTCCTACATGCCAGCATATAGTATAGTGGTTAAGGTGCTAGACTCCTACATGGCCCATTACAGCATTACAGTTCAAGTCCCAGGCCTGATGGCTTGAAAATCATACCAGGTTTGTTTCTGTGTGTGTGTGTGTGTGTGTGTGTGTGTGTGTGTGTGTGTGTGTGTTTTCAAAATCCTGAGAGGAGACTAGAAAATAAAGGATGTCTCTAAACTTTAAAAAAAAAAAAAAAGAAAAAATAAGCAGCAGCAGCAAATGGTTGGAGTGTCTACATAATTTCAACAGCCCCTGTATTTGAGGAGGGAAAAATCAATTGTTGCTTCATTGCTCCCTCTCCTGGGCATTAAAGGCATTGCAAGGGATTGACACTGAAAAAAATCAATCAAATGCAATCAGTTCCTCCAACTTTATGCACTGCATATGCAGCTGTCTCTTGAAAAGATGCTGCAGATTTAATTATCCACTTCCTTTGTCATGTGCCAGCCAGCCACATTGCCTGGCACTTGGGGGATACATGAATAAAACACAGTTATTCCAGACACCTGGTCTAGCTTTTACCCGAGAGCCCTATTCTGTGCCAGAACCCATCACCTGTACTTGGGTCTCTCTCTCTCTTTCTTCTCGTTTTATTTTATTTTTTTCAATCTTTCTCTTCCTCCACTCAGCTCCTTACTCAATCCCTCCAAAGCAGGGTTCCTTACACTTGACAAACTGTTAAAGCCCAGTCTGAAAAGAAGGGTCCGAGGATCCCAGAGGCCGCAATGTGGAACTCAAAGCACTGCACCTGGGCACAACTTGGCAAAGCCCTATCTTCTCCGTGCCTGCTTCCTGGGTAGAGAAGAACATTTACTATATACCCAGCACCAGGCCAAGTACTTTACACACAGATCTCACTTCATCTTCACACCTACCTTAAGAAGTGGACGCCACCAGCAGCTCCAGTACAGCTGGGTAAATTGAGGCTAAGAAGCTTAAGTTTCTAAGGTCACAAAGCTGGGTGAAATGACAGCGCCAGATTTAAACCTAGATCTGGCTAATTCCGGGTCCCGTTCTTTTCATCTGTATTCTCAATCCCGTACTTCACCACCCAGAGGAGAGCTGGGGAGGGAGGGTCGCAACTCGGGGAGGAGGAAGTCAAAGCGGGGCTTTACTCTGATCCTCTCGGGAACAGCGCACTGTCCATGAACTTTCCCACTCGGGCCAGCCAAGACCCGAGGTTCATCAAGAGACGGCGAGGTGGGGTCTCAAAAGCCCTCCAGCCCTGACAACATCCCTCTCGGTCCCTTCTCCCCATCACTGAAGAGCTCGACGCGCCCAGGGCTGCTCCCTTTCCCCAGCGCGGGTCCAGGAACGACTCCCCTCGGCTGCCCCTCCAGCCGCCCCAGTTCCCGAGGCCGCTCCGCCCCGGGGCGCTGCCGCCCCACCTCCTCCCCCGGCGGCCCCACACCGCCCCGAGATAC